TAATTTATTAGTTACCGATATATTATATATTATATAACTACTATACCTGAATCTTTATGTTGGAAGTCTACGGTTTGAGATACCAAGGCGTCCTTAAAGTTTGCATATACCACATCCAAATCCGTCGGCAAATCTAGTATTCGATTTATGCTATTGAAAGATTTGATTTCAGAATTATCTTGGCTCTGCAATACATATGTAGCGAAGACCTCTACATTAACTTTAATGGCATTATGGGCCCTCAGAACAACTTTCAACAATTCCAATACCCTCACTTTTATAGCCTCAAAAAATGTTATATAGTCTATATGTTTTTCATCACTTTTGACTCTATAACTTGCGATTCTGCACTTAAATGCACTCTTAATTAAATATATACCATCGACATGAATTGTGCATGCCTTTTCTTTATGACTAAGACTCCTCATATGTGATGTCATCTGATTGGTTGCGATGTCTACATTACATGATTCACATCTACTTTTATGAACTTGTGGGTCTACGGTACGATGTGAAACTCGCATTACACGAGCTTGTTTTACCGGTAAAACATCCGGGCTTGAATTGGCGGTTCTTTTCGTACCGCTGGATGATTCACCATTGCGGTTAGATATCAGATTACAACTTTTATTTTGATGTCGTCGTAAATTATCTGCTCTTGTAAATGTTAAACCGCAATTACACTTATACATATCTACTATTTTTATGATTATTCCGATATTAGATAATGAAACTTCCAACGCACTTATAGCTCGCGACTGATCTCATTCGTATAGATGTGATATTATATACCTCTCAATAAATCCCCACCTCCACTATGCTCCCCTCCCCTATTCATAATATACGGGAACAGCTCCAATTCTTGTTACTTCGGTATAGAGTAACGTAAATTCTAAATACATAGTAATCACTAGGAGGTAATGAGATGTACTTACTATGCTCATTACACTACTCAATTACGTTCATTAAAGTATATAATTTACAGAATAATTGGGAGGCACTTGCTAATTGCGCGAAGGGTGGGATACTACCCCTTCCAACAATATTTACATCGCGCGTGTCTGCCGAAGACCGGTGATTCACTTTAGCTATGGCGGTTGAGAGTCAAGGGTGTGCATGGCGCCGACTTATTTCCCCTATGCTACAACAGTAAACAAGAGAAGTACTTAGACTTATTACACTACGTGATATACACAGTAAATACTGTCTGAGAGGTATGCATATGGTGTAATGAGAGGTACTTACTATGCTCATTACACTATGCAATTACACTCAGTACAGAATAATTGGTTGGTCCTTACATCACTATGTGTACTGAGAGGTACTTACTATACTCATTACACTATGCAATTACACTCATTACACTATGCAATAACATGGTGTACAGAGTAATTCAGAGATACTTGCTAATTGCGCGAAGGGTGGGGGGTACTTGCTAATTGCGCGAAGGGTGGGGGGTACTTGCTAATTGCTCGAAGGGTGGGGGGTACTTGCTCGAAGGGTGGGGGGGTACTTGCTCGAAGGGTGGGGGGTGGGTACTTAGGGTAATTACTAATTACACCAATTGCCTCTGACCTTGCCTCTGACCTTGGTCCAGAACTGGCTAATCCCATCTACTGTCACTACACAACTGCAATATTTCCCCAAAGGTTAATAGACAAATCATCGATGCCTGTATTGACACATGGATCTAAAGGACTTTATAATGGCTATACAAAATGCGCAAAAAATGAGTAGTACCAAGACCAGAGCTACAAATAGAAAGCAGCCCTTCTAGTGGAATAAAGAAATCCAGCGATCCATAGATATCTGTGTACAAGCTAGAAGAAAGCTAACAAGGGGAAGGAAAAGAAGACTACAGGAGGAAGCTATTGAACACTTAGAGCTGGAATACGAACCCTAACCACATGTTCGGCCTTTTCATAATTTTATTTCAGATATTTATTAGGAAACTTATGTTTATGTTTGTATTTGTTTATGATCAAATCCCTAATTTCTTTTGGAGTTGCTTACCGCGACCTATTTTCAATAACGAATAAAAAAATTACGTTAGAAACTATCACAAAGATACCGTCACACTTTCAACAACTTAAAACGTCAAACCACAAAATAAGTTAGTGTTTCATTATGCGCGTCAAACACGTAAAAAATTCTAAACGTCAAAAATTCCAAAGCCAATAAAATAAGTTAGTGTTTATTATGTGCGTCAAACACGTAAAAAATTCTAAACGTCAAAAATTCCAAAGCCTCCCAAACATTAAATTTAATAATTCCGGAGGATATTGTTCGAACATGTAAATGGTCATTTATCTTTCGATTAGATACTGTTTTAAAAAAAAATAAGATCATGGTGCGTAATGTTCTCACAAATAGTAGAAACATCAACAACTATTAAATTTAAGTAATTTTTAAAAAATAGATCTTCAAATTTAAGTTTCCTAATATATAACGGAAATAAAATTATGAAAAGGCCGAACATATAGTGGTTAGGCCTCGTATAAAGGAGCGAGAAGGAACCTACGAAGTCCAAGTCCAACGGGTACCGGATAGGTTCAAGCACTTGTTGAAACCGTACGAGCTACCAGAAGCTACGATGGTGAAAAAGGCCAAGGAAATTTTTCTCTCAACGAGAGACAACCCAATTTGTGGTAAGATACGGTGTATAGAGAGCCACCCCTCTTTAGCATGAAGGAGCTTAAGAGCGCTGTGGCAAAGCTTAAAACAAGAAAGGCCCCATGCCCAGACGGTATCCTTCCAGAAGCCATTAAGATCGCGGTCGAAGAATTCCCAGGTCTAGTGCTAAGTATGGTCAACCAGTTCTTCAAGACACACAATTTCCCTACAATATGGAAAAAGGCCAAGGCAGTTTTGATTTCTAATAGTGGCACGAGTGCCGGGAAAAGAAAATATAGGCCGATATGTCTAATAGACATCATGGACAAACTCCTAGAACACCTGGTGCAAGATAGATAGCCGCAAACGAAGGTCTATCAGACTAAGTAACTACCTACTAAACATAACCAGGGAATACTTACGGAAAGATCACTTTTGGTTGGAAAAGAACACATCAAACCCTTCATTTTTTTATGTATTTTCAGCGATAATTCTTTACTATGTTGTCCGATTTCTATGATTCTTTTTTGTTTGAAAGGGAATACCTCAGGGATAGTTCCTTGTATAATTGGTCAGGATATGATGATATATGAGAAAATACAAAATCTTAATTTTTTAAAATTACTTTTATAACTTGTTTCTAAATATTCTTTGCAGGTCATCAAAAATGGTTTGAAGGTATGTAATTGGTTACTAAACGATTATATATTATACTTGATGCATGTTATCTTTTTACTTTAGGAATATTTTTATAAAAGTTCAAAAACTATATAAATTAGGTAAACAAGACAAACAAACAAAGCACAAAAATAATAAACAAGTCTACTTACTGTAACTGTAATTGCCAATGGAACCAAAATTATATCATCACTAATTTAGCGTAGTTTGGTATTAATTTGATATTATGAAGAATTACTTGGAGGTACATTTTCCTGCAGAGTGAAAGACCTCTTAGTTTTGAAGATTTTTTGACTATTGAAATGTTGAGGAAATCAACAACTCTAGAATTTTATGAGACATGGGAGTTGATAGAGGCGATGGGTGGGTAAACAATGTAAAATTTACTAAAAAAAAAATAGTTGTCCCAAGACGTGCCAGTATACTTAAACAGTATACATGTACAAGTTTATTGCACAAGTATACTGGTACGTGTGTTTGGTAATATTTGCACATGCACATTAATTGTACAAGCGATATGAGAATTGTGTAAATTCTATATTTTTTACATGTGCATGTCGGACTTACGCAAGTACATGCTTGAAACAGTTGATATTTGATCATCTGTAGAGTAGTATAATTTTGGTGCTATGACGACTCACTTGAAAAAGGGACAGCGTGAGTGTCTTTAAGAATTTCTATTTACGAACATAAACCTATGCCTGTGGCACGTGAAAAGCAAAGAGTACCACGATAAGGAAAAGACAATAAAGAATATATAGAAAAATTAAGGGAAATAGACCCAAAAGCTCGTGATACTGTGGTTAAAAAATTAACGCCTTTCAAACGAATCACAGGAAGTCAACAGCGGCCAGCGCGTTGTCGTCCAATGATGACATGGTTCAACTTTAAACTGGCGCACAACGGCTGACATTTCAAAATTCCATGCCAAAATTAAAACATTTTTGACGTTCAAATTTTTTATCTTTAAAACAGGAACAAAATAAAAATTGAAGATAGTAGGTACCTACAGTGACAGAAGTAATATATTTTGTTCTTTTTTAAGGCATAGGGGAGATTGGAGCACGTTGAATTCAATAATAAATATAGGTACTCATACAAGAAACATTTTATTTATAATTTTTTTCAACAAAAGATTGAAATCAATCTTCATTCATCATCACCATTATAACCACTATTATCATTATCACTACTTAACTCATTATTTCACAAAATCTTTCTTTCTCAACTATGCCTGGTTCTTTAAGTAACTTTTTATCACGTCAGAGGGAAAATTTGTTATTATTTTTTTAAGAAAGTCTTATATTCATGGATATTTTAGGATCAGAATCCACAAGTCTTTATTAAATGTGAGTACCAAACTTACTCGAAATTAAATTGCTTTTTTTAATTATAATTTTAACATTTTTTAATTGCCTAAAGTACGATATAAGATATTGGCAACATCGCATGTAGTGTTTACATTTTCTTATCAAATCGCGGGAGTAAAACATGAAAATTATGATTTAAAAAATATCAAAAACCATCTTAAATGACAATTTAAACATTTAAATCCCTGTGAAAGTGAAAGCAGAACGTGAAACAGTGAAATATCACAAAAACCAGTAATGAAACATGTGGTTTCTAGCCTAAATGTCCAATTTATGGTTAACAACGTTGCCACGTCTGTAAAATTTTCCGTCAAGTGAAATAGTTATTTTGTTAAAATCATGTCAAAGTGTTGGATATGCAAAGCAACGGAGAGCGACATACAAATTTGGAATTGTGACCGATGCAATGAAAAAATTTGTCAAACTTGTTCCCAATTAACTGCATCTGAAATCCGGTGTATGGAACTGAAGAAAAACAGAAAACTCAATTTTCTATGTTGCAATTGTGAAAAGAAGAATTCTGATAAACCTGATATCAATTTACAATCTTTATTGAATGCCTTCAAAGATGATATAATAAAAGAAGTGACAAACAACATAATTAAAGAATATGAGAAAACTATGGAACAACAAGTTCAAAAAATAGAAGAATTAACAAAAGAAATAAAAAACATTAAATTAACAACAAATCACAACAGTCAAATACAAGAATCAGTTATTGGTAATATGAATAATAAAAACAAAGTTGAAAACACAACTGAAAATAGACAAATCAACAGCTACGCATCCGTTTCTGGAAGGGAATCAAATCAACAAAATGAGTACAAACAAATACCAAATATCTCAGTTACAAAAACAAATGCAAGTAACTCACTTAAGTCAAAACAACGTACTCAGGGACATTTACAAAACAAATATCTACAAAGTCCAAATTCCATAGGAAACAGTAATGGTAATATAACTCCCTCTAGAAATACAACAAACAATCTCATGGCGGACCAAGCTGAACAAATGACCAATATTATAAATATAAATAATGATGAGGGTGACAATTTCAAATTGGTAACTAAAAGAAATAGAAAACGTAAAATGGGAAGTGGTATGGGAGAAGGTGCTTTCCAGGGAAAAAATGAATCTTTAAGAAAGATATGGCTTTTTTTAACAAGAGTTCCTGAGACTGTTAAAGAAAGTGACATAAAAGCGTTTATACATAAAAAAACTAAAGAGGTACACCAAACTAGCATTGAAGATATAGAAGTGACAAAATTACATACAATCACAACAAAAAACAATAATCAGTCCTTTATGATTGGTGTAAATCCATGTCTGCAAGAAGATGTATATCAGTCAAATTTCTGGCCAAGAAAAATTGCATATGAAAGATTTGATTTTAGAAGAGGACAAAGATTTCTAAACTCCCAAAAGTCAGACCTAGAAGCTAGCCAACCAGGTTCGTTTTTAGATGGATATTGACAGAAAACAACACCAACAACAGTTTTGAGAAGACAAAGGTGGAAACTAACATTAGCATACCAGAAATTCGGGGAAAACAAGTCATAAAAATAAAACCAGTAGCTTTAAATCTAAATTGTATGCATATTAACATACAAGGTGGTTTTGCTAAAAAATGCTTTGATATGAACCTAATATTACAGAAAGAAAATATAAGTATCCTATGTGTAACTGAACACTGGCTTAATTCCAATTACTTGCAGGTGAGTTGTATTGAAAACTTTACATTAGTGTCACATTTCTCACGAACTAGAAAAGAGAGAGGGGAAGTTTGTACATTTATTAGTTCCGACTTATTAGCTACCATACACTATGAACCTATAAATTTAAAAAAATGGTCTATTGAAGGTGATTTTGAGGTATGTGGTGTAAAAGTAAAATTAAATTTAAAACAATTTCTATATATTATTACCGTTTACAGACCTCCGGATTATGCTAATTTTGGGGGATTTATTGATCAAATAGAACTATTATTGCACAATGTTTATAGTAATAATAACTTATATGTTATCTGTGGAGACATTAATGTGGATTTTTTAAATCATAGTAACCAAAAAATCAATTTAATTAATACTTTGCTTGGATTCAACATTAGACACCACATTAATGTTCCTACCAGAATAACGAGCACAACATCAACATGCATAGATAATTTTTTCACAAACTTTGATATAGATAATATGAAAGTATGCGAAACCTTTCTGTCTGACCACACATATCAGGTATGCTCTGTAAATTTACCATCCTCTTTTAATAATAACAAAGTCCAGTATATCCACAAACGAAACTTAGATGATCCTAATATATGCACCTTTAAAAATATTTTATCAAAAGAAAACTGGAATGAGATATACACAACTACTGATTTTCATGAAAAGTTTTCTATTTTTTATACAAGTTTTACATATTATTATGATATAACATTCACAAAAGTTAAGAAAAAAATCAAACCACAGAAACATAAGAATCTGTTCTCACCTCAAATAAAAGAATTACATAACCATCTGTGCGAGATGAATAGGTTGAGAAAGGAAATAGATAACCCATATTATACTGAACGCTATAAAAAATTTAAGAAAGAATACCAAATTATAACAGAAAAATATTTAAAAGAGAAAAACAGCGATCGAATCCAAAATAGCAGCAACCGTATGAAAGAGAGCTGGAATATAATAAACGAAAATCAGGGTAAAATTAAAAATAAATCACTAAATGCAATTGAAACTGAAAAAAATGTAGAAAAAGCTAATTTTATTAATAATTATTTTATAAATGTAAATCAAACTAACACTATTCCTGACTATAATATGAAAATAGACAACTTCCATATAAGTTTCTTCCTCTTTCCAACAACACCGGAAGAGGTAATCTCTATTATCCATAAAACCACCTTGAAATCGGCTGAGGGAATTGATGAAATAAACGGCAAAATCATAAGATCAGTAGCCACTCACATTGCTGAACCTTTATCTCATTTGATTAATGAATCTTTTAAATTCGGAGTTTTTCCGGAATTAAAACAGTCTAAAGGAATTCCTATCTATAAAAATAAAGGTTCACCAAGTGATATAAACAATTATCGTTTAATCTGTATTCCAAGTCAAATTACAAAAATTTTTGAATCTGCGTATTCTATAAGGCTTATAAACTATCTTGAACATTTTAAATTACTACCAGCAATTCAAAATGGATTCCGCAGTAAAAAATCTACTGCCAGTGCTATGGCAGCTTGTTTGGATTTTATTTATAGTGCATTAAATGATAAGAAAAATACTTTGGCACTTTTCTATGACCTGAGCCGTGCATTTGACACGGTGGATCATAATCTCTTGTTACTTAAAATAGAAGGTATGGGAATACGGGGAAAACCTTACGATTGGGCTAAATCTTACTTATCAAACAGAACACAAGTAGTTATAACTGATAACAAGAAATCAACTCCTCTCAAATATACAATGGGAGTACCGCAGGGATCAATACTAGGGCCAGTATTTTTTATAATATTTGTTAGTGATATCAATAAATTTTGTACCAGTCCTCATCAGATTATCCAATATGCTGATGATACAAACATTCTTATGGCGGATCATCAATTTGAACACCTTGTGCAAAGCAGCAATAATGCATCTTTTGAATTTAACAAATATTCTAGAGAAAATGGTCTGGCATTGAATGTATCAAAAACTAACTTCATGCGTTTTCTACCCAAGAATACCACCCCAAATCTTGAACCGTACTTACATATTAATGGTAAATCTATACAAAATGGTGAAAATGTTAAATTTTTGGGAATTACATTAGACCCTAAGCTAACGTGGGAAGCTCACATAGATAATGTAACTAAAAAAATATGCTCCCATTGCTATGTTATTAGAAACTTAAGAGAAACTGTGACTTTTGATGTATTAAAGCTTCTTTATTATGGACTTGTGCAGTCTACTCTTCAATATGGTTTAATATTTTGGGGTGCATCATCTCACGTCAACAAAGCATTCGTGGCACAGAAAAAAGTAATGAGAGCTTTATATAATGTATCACCCACAACATCATGCAAATCACTTTTTGAAAAATCTGACATTCTAACACTACCATGTCTTTTCATCTACCAATTAATATTGTACGTTCAAGAAAATGAACATACTCTTAACAAAAACGAAAACATACATTCATATAACACTAGACAAAAAACTAACATACATCAACCTTTCTCACGCCTAGAAATTGCTCAACACTCACCCAAGTATATTGGAATTAAATGCTATAATAAATTCAGTAGCATAATAGATAAAAATAATAGTCCCGAAATAGACAAAATAAAACAGTTTAAGAATAAACTTAAAGTATTTTTAGCAAAAAATGTATTTTACAGTGTGGAGGAATTCCTTAATTTTAATCCTTAATTGTTATCTCTAATATATTATTGTGTTAGTTTAAGTGTATGTATTGCAATTAATCTGTATTATATTGTTTTAATTTTAAATTGACTAGTCTGTTAGTACTTATACATTAAAAAATTGTGTTTTGTTTTCTATGTATAATACTTATGACAAATAAAATTCTATTCTATTCTACTCAAAGTGTGGTCCTTGGATCTCTGGAGGTCCGCAAAGCCTTTGTAGGGGCTTTGCAAAGAAAATAATAGTCATAAAAAAAGAAGCAGTACTATCGCTACAAGAAACTTGGCTTGATGACTTTTTTTTACATAAATGTGTTTAGGGCTCAGTCTTTTCAAAAAGGTTCCGTCGCCAAAAAAGTTTGAGAGCCACTTTAACTTACACTAATGATTTTAATATATTTCAGGAAAATCAAGATAATTTTTCTCAATATACTTAAAAATATAATTTGCCTATCAGTTAATTTTTATATATATATTTTTTTGTTTCAATTTTTAATCCCTTTAAAAAGCTCTCCGATCTCCATAAAAAACTAATAATATTTTTCAGACTCGGAGTCCTCTACACCATGGAAGTCAAAATCTTGAAGTTGTAATTTTGTGCTATATCAATAATTTTTGTGTTATTTACTAACAGTAAAATGGAAGAGAGGTCATCATACATAAGTGACATTTGTATTGTGATTTGCAACTATTTGCAGAATTTATTTATTTGTTGTGTTGCAGGACAATCCATTACATAAGTTAATTACAATAATATGACGGAAATCTACAGACATCATAATCATTGGTCTGCACAAAATATATAAATGTAGAACAACCAGAAACTGTGGATCTATTGCAGTTATATATTGTAATTCCAGTTTTTGGATTTTAGCAAGTTTTCAGATTAATACACCACTGTGTGGTGCGATGTGCAAGTGTACTTGTACGTGTATTGTCAACACAGATATCAATCATACTAGTGCAATAAACTTGTACATGGTTCAAGTATATCGATACGTTTATGGGGGCCTTAATACACTTGCCAGTGTACCTCAAACTGTGACATGTAAATAATAGTATTGCCTGCTTTATGTAAGAAGTGAATTTTTTACAATAATATTAAGAAATTAGGACACATTTTCCCAAAAAAAGGACAGGAATATTTTTGTGAACTATAACCAGCAAGAACGGGCTATGTATTGTAATAGGGATCCTTACTGGGCATTGCTCACTAAAAGAACACCTGAGAGTAGTAGAAGATAGTGAGTGCAAATTCTGTGAGAAGGGCGAAACCTCCATTCACATTCTGACTGAATGTGTAGCACTTCAGAATCCAAGGGCATTATACCAGGAGCATATCAAATAGAAGAGGGAGATTTACCTAAATTGAAGCCTCTCCAAATCCTACACTTCCTTGAGAAGATAGGATTGGAAGTGTCGTTATAAGCATTGAGATATTTCCTTGCTGCATTAGCGACAGAAGGGGCACAATAGATCTTTTAGGCCGCAGTGCATTAACACCCCCTTCCCAACACAACATCACCACTAGGTCTCTAAACATGTGTATGCTCTTTCCATGAAATCATGAGGGGAGTCAAAGAATGACCATATATTAGGGTGACCATATCTTTTTTGACTCAATGATGGATGCTGAAATACAACAAGGAACTTGACCTTTTTTATTTGCAAGTAAATTATGTATCACATTGCAGGATACTAGACAAATAAAACACTGCATTTTGATGGACAAATACTGCATTTTGATGTACAATAAAGCGAAATGCCGTACATATGGTTCACCCTACTATAGATAAGTATAACTATGTGGTGAACCTTCTACAATGTAGATGTGTGTAAAATATGAAGCAAGACTTAAATGATGAGAATGAAAAACAATATAAATGGTAATAAAAGACTGGAGAACATGCAACAAGAAGAGCTAAGTATGTAACTACCTTCATTTTGCATTTCAGCCATAAATGCTGCAAATTCATCTTCAAATTTATCACTGTTATTAGATTCTGTACAATCATTTGTTAATTCTAAGAGTTCTTCAATATTGGCTTTTAAACTCAATAATTCATTTTTCTCCGGTCCTTCTGGAGCTACCAAGAGGGCTTGATTTATTTGAATCAACTACAAAATAAAAAAAAAATAAAAAACCATAACAACACCTAAAATAAAGATAACCTGTTGTTGGTAAGAATTTAAGTCTTCTATATCCATATTCCATTAATTAATATATTTCAATATTTTATAGTAATATGTTGATTGTTTATGTTTTTACCACGGTTTTTACCAAAATATTTAAATGTCACCATAATTATGACAAATGTCAGAGACCTCAGACATGGGTGAGTTCGGTAGTTAAGTGCACGTCAAGTGCAGGAGTCGTGGAGCGAGACCACTAAACCACACGCCGTGATTCCAAATAACAAAAAGCCGCGTTTGAGTATCCACAAGGCGAGTTCGGTCAGTCAGGGGCTGGAGCGGGACAAATTTTAGGGTGCTTTTAAATGACATTTAAGCGTGTTAAACTGTCACTAATCGGACTAAACCGAACGCTAAAAGAGTCGTTTGGAGTTAAAAGTGTTAAAGGACGTGGCAAACCGAACGCAATGACAGGATGCATCTGAGACCACATACTTTGATTTTCTTTTACTATACGGAGAATGGTCGTACTCAGGGTTGCCAACCGGTCTTTACCGATTTACTCTCAAAAACTTTTCCGGATTACTCACAATTACTCACAACTTCAAAATATTAATATTACTAGTTTTTTTTATATAAATCTTATATTTTGTACTCTTGCACTTTGGTTTGAATTTATTTTACTACTGTGCAATGTTGCCAAACATTAAAAGATAAATTTTCAGAACATACAAGAGTCAAAACAGATGCACCTTTTTTCTGTGCATTTACTATTTTAATAACAAATTAATATACAGGTTGATTCATAACTATTGGGACATAGGCTAAGGCAAGTTATTTGGACAAAAATATGGCGATAGGACCAAATATACCTTATCACCTCAATTGCTGTCCTACGGCCGCAATGGAGGTAATCTTAAACCTCACCCCTCTACATTTGATGATAGAGAATGTGACAAAAAGGACACGATATAGAATGATCAGGAGCGGAGTAATCAGACGAAAGTCTACTTGCTTCAGGACTAAAGATACCTGGGACATGCCCCAGGATGAAATGCAAAAGAAGTACAGTTTTGTGAAAAACTTCAAAACCACAGAGCTGGGCTGCAAGAAAGAATGGAGCCAAGAATCCATCGCGCTTGCAACCGAAAGACGTGCTATTCAGTGGTACACGGACGGTTCCAAAACCATAGAAGGAACTGGAATAGGAGTGTATGGGCCGAAATACCCAAGCATCTTCCAGGCGGAAATTCACGCCATCGAGAAGTGTATCCAGTTTAACATCGAGAGAAACTATCATAGACAAGAGATTATCATCATGTCCGATAGTCAAGCAGCCATCAAAGCGCTGAGTTCTTACGTAATCAGCTCAAAAATGGTATGGAGATGCCTAGAACAATTGAATGAGCTAGGCGAGAAAAATAGAGTTACTCTCACTTGGGTCCCGGGACATAACGGGGTACAGGGTAACGAGATTGCAGATAGTCTTGCAAGGAAAGGGGCTCAAACACCCTTTGTAGGACCTGAGCCGTTCTGCGGTATCAGCAGTAACTTTGGGTTTAATATATCCTACTGTTGATGAGATTCTGTGTGGTGGTGATCTCAATATAGATTTTTTAAACGTTGATGATGTTACGGTTGATAAAATGATAAATGTTTTAGAATGTTTTGGTATTAGTCAAATAATGGATGCTCCTACGAGAATTACGAACACTTCAGCGACCTTGTTAAATGGCATAGTTACATCTCCTGAATGGGTAGTTGAAAAGGGTATTATTCATGTAACTGGAATCATAAGCGATCACGACATAGCCTCTTGTAAGGTAAAGGTGTGTGTTCAAAAACAGGAGCCTCGAAATATTACATATCGATCATTTAAAACCTTTAACGATGCTGATTTTCAGAGGGATTTACATAACACACCGTTTTTTAGAATCTTTGATCAAGAAACCGCTGATGAAAAAATATCTCTTTTTGTTAACTTATTAATAAATATAATAGATAGACATGTACCTTTAGTAACTTCGCGAGTAACCAAACCTAGAGCACCGTGGTTAACAGGGGCTATTAGGGAAATGATGACAATAAGAGATAAAGCTTTCAAAAGATATACACGAACAAAATCGGAAGTTCACTTTCAGTTTTATAAGGACATAAGAAACTATACTAATTCTGCGATTAAACGTGAAAAGAAAGCTTTTTTTACGTATGAGTTAAACAAAAATAATTCGAAAACATTATGGAATACTTTGAAGACCTATAATGTTATACAAAATAAATCAAATTTAATTCCTAATAATTTGAAAAATCCTGAGGAAATAAATGATTTTTTCATTAATTCTTGTCCAGTTAGGGAACCTCCTGAACATCTGATATTATCTTATAGAAATAAAAAGCTAGTAGACTCTAAATTCAAATTTCATGAAGTTAATGACATATTTGTTTACGAAACGATTAATAGCATAAAAACGAATGCTGTGGGGGAAGACCAGTTAAGCTTACGCCTTTTAAAAATTTGTTGCCCTCATGTAATTCCTTACATAACGCATATTATTAATTATTGTTTAAATAATAATGTTTTTCCTGATGTATGGAAAAGAGCTATTGCCCACATAGCACACGGACGTCTAAAAGACGTCCTTTAGGGACATAAAGGACGTCCGAGGGACGTCCTATTTTGGTACCGGGACGTCAATCGGACGTCCCATGGACGTCCTAATGTCCCGTTTCTGTCCATCTTAGGGACGTCCCTTAGGGACGTCCCTGGGACATCCCAAAAGGACGTCATAGCGACCTTTGCGGGACGTCCTAGGGACCTTTGCGGGACGTCCTAGGGACGTAAATCAGACGTCCGAGGGACGATAATTGAACATAATCCATAAAGGGTAATAATAACAAAAATGTTAACAATAAAAGAGCTTTATTTAACAACTTTTATCCTAAAAAACCTAGTTAGAGTTAAACGTTTTCAGTTTACAAAAAAAAACAGGAATGAATTAAATTTAACACACAGCGCTGGCAAGATGAAAACTTGGGTCCTACTTATAGCTTGTGTCGACATAACTGAGTATTATAATTTTGTCCAAATTAGTTTTGTTCCAACTTTCCGCCATTAAGGTATTTTCTTTCCGCCCAGCGGCTACCGACAATACACATCACTTATTCTCACATCAACACAAAACACTCACTTCACTTTATAACCACTTTACCACCAACATCAAAAAAATAACAAATAACACTATATAACCTTCTTTTTTCTTCGTTAATCTAACTCACTTATTTAAGTTAATAATTATTGAATGCCGAAAATTGTAGCTATTGTTCATTTGAAAATAAATGATAGGTTAGGTTTTCTGTCCTCATACTCTTGCAAAATCAAAACGTTGAATTTTAAGTTATCGATTCAAAGACCAACGATGCTAGTGCATAGAAAGTCCCATAGACGTCCCTTGGACGTCCCATTAACGTCCCGGACTCGGACCGAAAACTAAACGCTTTGTCGAAACGGGACCAAAATAGGACGTCCAGAGGACGTCCTTCTAAGGACGTCCTAGTGTTAACTGTAATCGGAAGTTCAGTGGACGTCCTATTTAGGTCCGGGACCAACCGGACCAACAAGGGACCAAATCAGGACGTCCATGGGACGTCCTGTGCTATCTGGGTGTAAAGATATTACCTAAGAAACCAAATCCTCTTGGATACAAAGATCTACGGCCAGTTAGTATATTACCAACCTTGTCAAAAATATTAGAGAGAGCTGTAGAAGTACAGCTAAAACAACATATAGAATCACACTCATTGTTGCCAGGCACCCAATCAGGATTTCGTAAAAACCATAGTTGTACAACGGCTCTTCTCCATATTGTTGATGATATTGTAAGAGCTACGGATAAAGGAAAATCTAATATATTAGTTTTGCTGGATTTTAGTAGAGCATTTGATACTCTTAATTATAGTTTAATGTCTGCAATTTTGCAATATGTAGGTCTTTCTGAAAATGCTGTAAGTTTTCTAAATTCCTACCTTACTAATCGTCAACAATTAGTTAAAATCGATAAACAATTTTCTCATTTTAAAAAATTAAAGTGTGGAGTACCCCAGGGTTCCATTCTTGGACCGTTGCTGTTTGCGTTATATACATCCAATCTTGTAAAAAGCCTTCAACATTGTAACATTCACCTTTATGCCGATGACACTCAGTTATACTATAGCTTTAATTCCGAAATGATAGCAGAAGCATGTAATGTTATAAACAACGATCTAAACTGTTTTGTTAAAGCTGCATCTGATCACTGCCTGAATATCAATAGTGATAAGTCCAATGTTATTGTTTTTGGAAATAAGGCGAAAAGAAACGAGATTAGTCCAAATATTAATATTCTAATTGAAAATATGCCGCTACAGATTGTTGATGAAGCTAAAAGTTTGGGAGTGACATTAGATTGTGACTTGAAGTTTGAAGCACATGTCAATCAACTAGTAAAACGTGCATATTTTACTCTTAAAGTATTATACGGAAGTAGACATTTTTTACCGTCACACATCAAATCGACACTGTGTGATACACTGATCTTATCTATTTTTAATTATGCAGATGTACTCTATGGCCCATTTTTAAGCAGCTTATATAAAAAAAAGATTCAAAAAGTCCAAAACTCTTGTTTACGTTTTATATACAATATTCGGAGAAGAGAGCACATCAGTCATAAATTGAAAGAGAATGGCTGGTTAAATATGGCGGACCGGAGGATTATGCATGCATCAATTGTTTTTCATAAAATTATTGTTAATAAGACACCTTCATACTTGCACAAAAAAGTAACATATCGGACTCATGTTCACAATCTAAATGTCAGATATAAAGGTATTCTTTCCCCTCCTTTTTTCAGGTTGGAACTTTTTAGACGTAGCTTTACTTACCAAATATGTTCTATTTATAATGATATCCCAGCACTATATAAAACTTACACTGTAAAACTATTTAAAAGGGCTATTAAAAAATTCTTATTTGAACGGTAAAGGATGAATCGTTGCGTTGAGACATTAAAAAATATGAGTAATTAAATTTTGTTTAGAGAAAAGGCAGATTATTATTATTATTAAGGAATTATGTTTTATTGTTTGCACTAGATTTGCGGCATTTCATTTCAGGTTAAGTGGAAGAACAATTTACTGGTGATCCGTCACCAGATAAATTGAACTTCGCCTTTTGTTTTTATGGTATAAATTAAATGTTATAAAAATGTATTCTTGTTAT